AGAGGGTGTTTTCATCGAGTGGTTCTGACCCGATATGAGTTCGTGGTACCGATAAGTATGTGCGGGGTTTGAATTTCCCCCCGTAAATTTGAATTAGATAGGCAAATATTGTTCTCTTTCAGGAAATCGATGCCGGTTTCTGTGAGCTTAACGCTCGGGAAACCATTGGTGAGTATCGGCTTCGTGAGTATTTTCATCTCCATTTCATCGCCGTATGCCGAGCTTACTTTCATTGTGACGACATGGCTTTCGAAATTTTCTACATGGCCACCTATGCCTGACATGGTGCAGACTTCTGTGCCCAATTTAGGAAGGCCAAACTGCTCCGCTACCCCTTCCTTTATGATGGATTCTTGTGGCCCAGAGTCAAAGAAAAAGAGTACTTTCTCGTACACCTGTTTCTTGAAATTCCACATGTTTCCTTCAGCAGTCATTAGGACTAGCTGAGAGTTCGCCTGTATTTGCTGTTAGACAAGCGTAACAGCGTCTTCTGTTCTCAATTAGGCGTTGTTGTTCGAAAAATTCTTGGGTAGGTGACGCCGTTTTGGTTTCTCTGGAGGTTGTTATGACTCCTGCCTTGGGTGCCTTGAGATCTGGAGGGATGCTCTTTTCGAACATCCCTCTGGTTATTGCTGCGAGAATCTTTTTGCCCCGTCGTAACGTTATCGTCTTTCTTGACGCATAATGACATGTGGTGTTTTTGACCACATCGGGGACAGTCTGCTCGTTGGCAGTCGAAGCTGTTGTGACTCGAAGAACAGCACTTCCAGCATCTGTTTTCGTCTTTTATGATTTTTTGACGACGGCTTTGATCCGTAACGGTCCGACATGAAAATGATGAGTGATTGTTCTTATGGCAAAAGATGCACTTATCCTTAAATTGAGGGCGCGTGTTAATAGCCGCACTATGCCCTTTGGTGGAATTACTGCCTACGGCATGACCCATCCTACCCTCAACGTAGTGCTTATCGGCGATCTCGTTCTTCAATTGAGCCGTCAATTCTCCCGTTGTGCTACTATCTTGAGATCGGCCCTGTTTCAGAACAGGCTTGACGACATCCTGAGGAAATTTCGACAATATAGTTTCGCACCTATTGGATCACAGGTTTTTCCTACGTCGTAGCCTGCTGAGATCATTTGGTGGACCAGAACTTGTATTTTGTCAAATGTTGCTAAGCAACTTCCTGCCGAAGTCCCAGCTGACCTAAGATTTACCAATTTTTTCACTATTTGTGCTCTATTTACGGGAAGGTCACTATAATTACTCTGAAGGGTCTGAACTAGCCAGTTGTAATTTTCTGGCACTAGTCTTATCCCCTTTATAGAGTTCTGTGCTTTCCCCATCAAGCTTTCCTTCAACAGTAGAATTTTTTCCATAACGTCGAGCTCATTACTTTTGTGGACTAGTGTTTCGAAGACTGCGCAGAACTCTGGGAAGTCTTCGGCGTCCCCGTGAAACTTGGGCAGGGACGCTTGAGGTGGTCTTATTGAGCGACAACTTCTTGGCGGGTTAATGCGCTCAATAGACTACGTCTCGTCTGCGATACCTACTGAGGGAGTCCTATTTTGGCTGCTAGGGCCTTGCTCTGAACCCCCGTCCGGGTTGATTTGTGAGCAGTCGTCATCCCCTTCTACGGTTATCTCTTGAAGCCTTTGGGCTTTTTGCGCGACGTACCCTAACTTCACGTCTAATCGTTCCCTTGCGCACTTTGCTTCGTCATGACGAGTAGTCAACATAAATCCGAGCTCGTCCGCATCGGCTAATACAGAGTGAAGATTTGATTCTTCCTCTATTTGCTCAATTATTTCCTTCCTATCTGCCTTATTCTTACAAGCTTTGTACTCCTCTCTGATCTCGTTATAGTCTTTGGAGTTTTTCCTTGCCTACATTCAATTGCTTAATGCCACTCTCCAGTAGTGCTATTGCAGACCTACATTGTTCGTAGGCTCTTCATCGATCGATGGGAAATCTACCTTAGCCGTATATTCCCTATAGCGCAGGACCAAATTCTTAAGCGTCGTTGCGCTAGAGATAATTGGTCTTCTGTGAAAGTGGAGCGACATTGCTTTATTTGAGTAATTTGTTTTAATTGAATGAAGTATGTTTAGTTATAGAACCACGTTCGATTCTATTTATGACGATTCTATTTATGATTATGATACAGAACCACGTTCGATTCTGCTTTGGTTATTAGAAAGATAGATCGTTCGATTTTGTTTGTTCACCTTTCGAAAGTTGTAGGTCACGTTCGATTCTACTATATTCAAAATGTATTTTTTTCACTTTTTGGCCGATGTACCAAAATGTGCGAGATGGTTCAGTGGTTTTGTGTGTAATTAGTTTTATGAGTAATTCACAACAAAGAAATCAATGGCACAATAAAACGAATGTGAATGAAAGTGCGAATGTAAACGCAAATATAAATGTAAGGCTGAAAGGTCTAAACTAAATGGTTAAACCAACGTCTCTTGTCGTTGTTTTGCGGAAGAGTGGGGACCACGCTTTTTGGTGGCCCCGCCCGCTTGACCCCCCTAATCATAGTTGGCGTCCCACGTCGTCTCAGACAGTTAGAGAGCGACGAGGGACGGGGATCGTCGACCCAGACGACGATAGTCACCGTGTGATCCCTATCCTGAAACCTTAAGCTAGGTGATAATTAGCTTCGCTTCTCATTGCTCGGTCTGAGTGAACTGATTTAATGAGGAAGAAAATCGAATAGGATTTAGTAAAAGGAGAACAATTCGAGTTGGAGAAAACGAAAAATAATTGTAATCAACATCCGCTAGTCAGTGGGAGTGGAATCGCACGCAAACACATTGAGCAGCCCCGTTCCTCAATTTCTTTTTCTCCCACTCATACAAGGCAACTCTATTTTGTTAGATTTTAATCTTACAATCTTAAAAAGGAATCATGCACCCCTATGACAAGTCGAGCTATTTCATTGAAAGCTGTTGCATTTGTGTATGTGCATATAAATACATATGTGCGTGTCAGTGTGTGTTTCGGTGTATGTGTATGTCGTTGTATGCGTATGTGTGTATGAGTCCTTGTGTATGCGTTGGTGTGTCGAAGTATTTCATTGTGTGTGTGTGTGTGNTCTCAGACAGTTAGAGAGCGACGAGGGACGGGGATCGTCGGGGTCAGACGACGATACTCTTGCTAGCGGGACTAAAAAGTTCGAGAGAGATCAGTGGGAAGCCCTCTGTCCACGTTAAGAATGACTTCCCTGAAAACCTGGTCGTGAAGTTGTTGTGAGTTCACGAAGCATCTTCAAGTGTGAGTGGGAACATCCTTATCGCCAAAGCTTTCAATCATCGCAAGACCTTCTCCAAATCGATGAACGTCGGACACAACTGCGCACACTTGTGACTTCAAAAATAACTGTTTGAAGGCTCTTCAAACAGTTATCTTTGAACTGACTCGATGAGATCCGAATGAGAGATGACCAAAACTACTGATCATCTCTCATTCGGATCTCTCTTCATCTCTTTCCTGCACATCTTTGCGAAATCGGACTTTAGCTGATGTTTGCCTGTATCGCGCGATTCCACAGTGGCGTATCATTTTGGGAGTCTTATTAATGGTACTTTCTGAACAAAGGAGGAATTCCGTCATGTTTGTGTGAATCATTTAACGGTTACTTGAGTGGGCGATTAGGAATGTCTTGGCTAGAAAAATTTACTGAGTCATATATAGTATCAAAAGACCTAAGATTAGGTGTCTCAGAATCTCATATATTTTCTAGAATTCATCTGCTAATTTCCAGCCTCGTTACAGTCCGTAATTATAATTGAGTCATTCACTTCTTGAGTGCACAAATACTCCTTGTATATTGAATGTTAGCTGTTATGTAATTTTGTGGCAGGATTTGTTAAAGCTGCCTAAATTACTTTTAAACGGCACAGTTATACTTGTCAAGCCTTTTATCGAATTTATTAGACAAGTTTCGGGACTTCCCCCAATCTCGCTGGTCATTGCACCCATAAGTTTCTTATATGCATGTATTCTGTGCGAAAAGGGTATTATGGGAATGCAAGTTTCCAACCGTCACAGGGGCTTTCCTTAGTGCAATAAACACTTCAATAGAGTGACTCGAAACCAAAGAGAACAGCTAATACATTTGGAGTACTCAGTATCACTAAAGCAACTGAACGATCCTATCCAAACAATGTCTGAAAGATAAGTGTCCACCTGATGATATTGGGCAACTTTGAAATCTCTTCCGAACACGCTCCAATTCGTTTACCGAAGCTTTGTAAATAAAAGGAACGGCGTTGTGACACCAGCACCACAGAGGGAAACCAATGAACATATCTTGTACGAAGTTTATGCTATTGCAAAGTACCAAATCAAGCACTCTTTTCCAAGTAGGGCAATCTACAGATGAAGTATATTCATGAGTACGGAGCAAATTAAAGAGTACCGCGATAATGCTGAATTAGCCAACGTAGAACCAGACCAAAGAAATATCAGAGAAATCGGAATCACCCACGAAGACAGGTAGAATGACACGTAGCAGCGGAATGAGGCCACTTGGCAATCTACATTAAAGGTGATGAAACATGACAAACATGACTGACCCCTAAATCTAGCACAGCGTTCACCTTCCCAGTCATTTTTCAAAGGATTAAACCGCATTCATATGGTTAGTGCACCCAGGCCATCACCATGGTAACACCTCCTAGACGTGCATGTGTAATCCGCCGCTTGTAACGTTCATGCCCATTTTGATAAGTGACAGTTGCCGGATAGTCTTTCTCCCGCAACGTCCATTTCAAAACAATTTTCATGATGCTTACTAACATATTTCTCGGTCATTTTCTCACGTATCTGCAAGATCCATTCTATTCTAACAGTTACACTTGCTGATCCTCATCAATATGAATGTCCTGAACATCATTCAATCGCTCGTCTTTCCAATTAACCAGTATTCCTCGAATTGATCGATAAGGTCACTAGCTATTCTTTCAACAGTGCATGGTGGCGATATAGAAAGCTTTTTCGTAATTGAACTTCGCAACGTTTCCATTCTGCGGTACTGAAATGGAGCCTAATAAACGCATTCCTAGAATTTGGCTATAGCTACGTAACACGCGAATTTATTTGCACAAAAAATTACTAGTACTTCCTTACTACATCTGAGGAAATCAGTGGCACAATCAGACTATTTAACTATTGAAGGCAAAACAGCATTTTTTAAGATGGCTGTCTCGGTATGGGTGTGGTTACGAGGTGAATTTCTGCTCGAGTCGTTCTTACCACTAAATTTTTCGGCGTCTTCATCATCGACATCACGAAACGAGGAATCGCCGTGTCGTTCGAGTGCAGTCGATGGTGCACATGCGCTTATCGATGTATGTCAGGCGAGGAACTGGGACCGGTTGAGGTTAGCCACTTCAAAAGTCATCAAACCTCACTAATTGAAGGAGTTGCACGGCTTCGCTGTTGCACTAGCTGACTCTTGCGATCGTCTTGAGGTTCTGAAAGTACTAATTACTCACAATCTATAAGCAAGTTGTTTGATTATTCAGTGTTTTGGAATGGTCCAATATCGTTGATGAAATCGGCCTGGATCATGCGCTCAGTGAGGCAGTCTATAGAAATGCTTCAGGAGAGGAGGTTTTTTCTTTTACACTTGCATTCGCAGATAATCAGCACTTAGAAAATATTATTTTGCCTGCTCATGGTCAGATGAGAAAACTAGAATACCCAACTATGTACAAGACGCTTTGGTCCATCACGGACAATATGAAGGGTGATAGCGAGCGTCGCGAAGCAGATTTTTATAGTTTGGAATTGTGCGGCACTACTTAAAAACAGCCAGCACCTAAAGCAGATAACACAACTAGGGCGTACCCTTTTATGGTCAACAACACAAAGAAAAGGCTCCCACATCATAGAAGAAACCAAGCTTATCATGCAAAAAGCCCTTAGAGCGGCGTAGAAAAGAATTTTATACTCGATAAGAATAGCTCCACCCGCGTAGGTTCAGGACGCCCCCGTGATCGGCGGGTGCACCCACACAACCCACTAATTTCCCTCTCTATTCTCTGTCCCTTTTGCAGAGAACGTGCTATCTCTGAGACTCTGTTGCTCGTACATTTTCCGAAAGTAATTAAGAACTAAACAATTTCAGTGTTTGAGACCGATTCTGTCCTATTCACATTCACTGATCGATTTGTGGCCGTAAACCATTCTTTTTCCCTATTTATTTTCCTCTACATGAAATAACCCACCGCACCCATCAATCTTAGGTTCACCGAGGAGTGTGAAATTGACATCAAATCTCTCGTGACTGCAGCTGTGAACAGTATACAACTGACATCTATTCTTAACAGATTTGGTTTCATTGGATGAATTGAGCTTCCTCAGATAACCCTTATTTCCATCAACTTATTCAAGGCTCACGCCACCCTGAGCTGTCTCGCCTTGCACATACTTCTCGCTGGCCTCGAGCGCTTCTCCTATGAAGCAGACGAGTGAGTTTTTCCTATCAATTCATGCACGCCGATGACGTTCACTATCATAGAAACTGACGGAAGCGCCTATGAATCAAAAGAATCCAGCATATTTAGCGTTTTTATAATACAGTTGCCGGCAGAGGAATATCCATTACTGACAACGATGCAGTGGTTCGAATGCTGGGAGAGCAAACCCTTTAAGAAGTGCAGTGAAAAAGTAAATAATAGAAAAGTTGAGGTTTTTGAAATCCATCTAATTTCGAGTGCTTAGATTCACATCCAGAATCGTAGAGGCATTTGATTGCGCTCTTGCCCTCTTTGTAAGGACCAAAGAAGCGGTGCAAGACGGCACAGATAGTGAGGGTGTGAAGGGTTCGATTGGTGTAGGTAAGTATCGGACCAAAACTGATCCCTATCATACGTGCGGCAGAGGTGCAACTGTACCACCCTATCTCTACGCAAGAAAGATGAATATCGTATGAAAGTTCCATCGCAATGGAAATCACGAACGACAGAAATGTTGTGCAAGTTCATAAGCTTCAAAAAAANAAAAAAACATTAGCCATGAACTTTTCCGTTTAGAGCAACTTCAATCCGAGGTGACGTGGTCACAGCAATGGTACAGCAACAAATGGGTAACTTTCACGGGTTCTTTCTAAAAAGAAGCTACGAGTATGTTCAAGAACACATATCAGATGACTTCATCAGTGTGTTGTGTCGTTGCGCCCTTGGCTGTTCTCAGGCGGTTCTGAAGAAGGATCGCATTCGTTTCAACAATCAACAACTGAAAGAGGTTTATAGTCACATGCGACCTATCCCAGCATTCCTCCATAAATTTGGTTTCAAATCCATATTTTCATTTTTTAGCTTTCCACGTCAATGGATCTGCTTTTTGAAGGAATGACTGAAGACAACGAGGCTGATAAGAGACACGACCACATCGTCAAGGTTTCAGAAATAATGCAGGATATCTGGTTTGAAGACAACGAAGTTAGCCTTTCGAAAGCGCTTTTAGCAGATGATTTGGAAAAGATCACCACTTTGTCTGGAATCATTTATCGAAAACGACTCGCTTCGAGCTCATAGTACGACTGTCACGAATTGAAAACGTTCCTCGATCTGTTCCGTTGTCAACAATAAGCACGAAATTAGAATGAAGGAATCACTCAGCAAGCACTACTTTGAGTGGTGAAATAGTTATGATTATTACTTCACGCAGTCAGGTCTAAGGACGAGCCACTGAATGACCATGACCACTTATATTACCACCAGGCAGCCACGCACGCGATCGCGTGCGCTAGAGGCTCTAGCCATGAGGGACGGAGCCACATGAGCTGATTTTCATTATAGACCTTTATCGGATTTATGAGTTTCCGCTCAAACCCCGCCCCTGTAGGCGGAGCCTGGTCCTGCCACCCACCATAAGAGTTCCCATCCTGTTGCCTGTACTCCTACCAAGTTTGAGCTTTCTGGGTCCACAGGGACAGGAGTTATGAATTTCTGCTAAGACGCCGCCACTTGTGGGCGGAGCCTCGTCCTGCCATCCACCATGAGTGTTCCCATCCCGCCGCCTACACTCCTTGCCTATACTCCTTCCAACTTCGAACATTCTAGGTCCAAGAGGACAAGAGTTATGATTTTCCAAAATGTTTTCATAAAACATAGCATTTTAGAGAACGCCGCGCCCATCGAGGTGGGTCTCCCCAGTTGGATCTAACTTACCAATGCACATCTCTAGCTACCATCAAACACCAGTTTTGAAGCCGTCTTACGACTGAATTTGAAATCATGGTCCTCAGTACAGCTCATTTCGATGCACGCCACCCCCACTGTGGGCGGGGCTCCGCCAAGCTAATGTGTGCTTTATACTTCTCGGGACATGGCCCTCCTATCCCACGCTTGACCCGGTCTCTCCAGGCGGATCTAAAGGAGCTAAGGAATTTCGTGACANACAGACAGACAGACAGACGAAGCGCTTTATAGAAAGTATAGGATCCTTTCCTTCAGGCTGGCCGCACTATACACATGAACTTTTTTCTTCGAAACGAATCCTCGAATAATCAGCTCGTGCTTAATCATCGGAAAGAAGTCTTGCTCGTTTCAGATTTCCTTGCGAAAACTCACTGCTAACATGAGAAAATGTCTTGTACAAGATCCGTTTCAAATTGACGATCTCTCCGTGGACACGGTAGCCTTGATGCATTGTTACATTGTTACCGACAGCAGTCTTTAGCGTCGTTTGAATTATAGCCTTCTTGTTCTTCTCGACGTGTGACGTCATTAACAAGTACTCGCCGGAAGGTCACCGTATCCGGATGGCAAAGATTTCAGCTTCTGACGAAGGTATGTGTGGATTCAATACGATCATGACGATTATGATTCAGGATGAAAGGAAAAAAGATTCTAACACTAGTCCATGCCGTTTTGGTACCCCCTTCCTCCGTTATTCCACTTCCATTTAGGGTCGTATTGATGTGTTGAATGCTTATTTCACGCACATAATGACTAATGGGAGTATTATAGTGGCCCACTGGCGGCTTCATCACCTCCGCTTCTATAATTACAATGTAATATAATAACGACTAAAACCACAGGAGCCCAAGACTAGAGTAACATAGCAGAAAAGATCCCGAGGGTCGAAGGGAGCCCGGACTCATCAAAATGACATTGTTTCGCATTCATCGAAACGTTTCGAATATGGGGAATGGAATTATTGAGAGAGTTGGGAGAGGATGGCGTAGCCGCAGCGTCTCCAGACTTGCAAATGAACCCTTCTTGTCATATGGGAAACACGGTCGTGAGGTGAACTGATTCTACAATGCTCGGTACCTTCCAAATTCTGCTTTCCCTACAGCATGAGCTTTCACCAACTTTTTTTCATGCTACGATTGTGTTAAGAATAATGGTTCCATATACCATTTATATTCCAGGCGGTCTACAAAGATGTACATCTTAGAATTTTGTCCAACAAGGCAGAATCCATGTTTATTGCGCCGTGGAGGTATGCTAACACTCAGGGTTGCAACATTCAGTAGAACAGTCCGAAAAACGAAAAAAAGTAAAAGAAAAAGGCGTCTCTATAACACCGATACATCCCTTCACTGCGCCTTACACCTCGGTGCTCTTGTCATATAGTTTCTCATTGGCCGACAGTGTCCGAAACCTCTTTGCGAAAGAGCGAATGTCGAACAGATTTATAACGACAAAACACTCCTCTCTGTGAAAATAATGGAAGTTCATCAGAGTATTAGACGCGAAGCGCTAGGGATGGCGATTTAAGGACAAAACGCTTAGGGTCGGGTTAGTGTCACACTAATAATTTCTGCCTAATGTCCATTTCAATGGAAAATAGAGTGATGAAGAGATTAAAATGAGTTCTGGTATTGGAGTTATCGAATCAGGCAGCCATTTTCCGATCAATTCGGTTGATCTTAACATGATCCTTTCACGGGCTAAGTATTAACCAGCATAAGGCGACTTTTTTTGAAAGATATACATCTCTCTGCATTTGCTTCAAATTTTAATACATTCCGTACTCATATCTACAAGTAAACAAGAGAACATGGAAGTAATGGAAAAGAGCAACATGCGGGAAAGATGAAAGGCACAGTTCACGGCAATTCCGAAGTACCCTTTTTTCATTCGAAAAGCGGAAGTATAGGTTGGTAATAGTTCATCGGTAGAGAAGAAAGCGCGAGAATTCGCCGAACCGAGAAAAATATGGCTCCTTAAAAAAGGGAAAATACAGGTTGGACGAGATTTTTCGGAGGAAATATCATAGCATGGGTACTCGGACGAGATTTCAGTTGTTTAATCGTGCAAAGAGCCGACTATGTACTCGCGAGAGCTGTACAGGACTGCCTTTCACTATCGCTATGGGTCATTATAGGTTGTTCGAACATCCTCCATGGATCCCCTAGTGTTCGATGCAGCCTCTACAGTGCCGCGAAACTCGTCTTGAGATACATACGGTACAATCTTTGAGATTTTGTCACGCCCTAACCAGGCCGTTTGCTGAACTAATAGCGCCAGATATGGTTTACGATGGAGCATCAAATTTATCCCATGGGAAAATCTCAGAAAACCATTTTTATCGTGAACTGTGTCATCAAAGGGACGTTTCGCAACGAAGCGGACCAAGGGGGGACAGGGGAAATGTCAGAAACGAGACTACTTTTGATCCATATTTTTAATTCTTAGATTAATCCAGAAGTGAAGATAATTGTGAAAACAGATGATCAACTGCTGGTGTAGAACTTTAATCTTACAATACGACGCATTCAAGCTTGGTTTTTCCCTATGCTCAATATCAATAGCGATTAAACGGCTTAAGGACTTCTGGTTCTGTAAATGAGAACATCGAATGAGTCGATACCAATCAGAAACTTGTCACGCTTCCGTTAACAGCAACGTTCACTTCAGAAGCCGTTCCACTATCGTAGACAACATACGATCCTGTTCTGCTATGGTATTAGGGCCTACCAATGGTACGGTAGTCCTCAGAGAGGTAATTCTATATAAGTGAACACAAGAGCCATATCAATTTAAAGGCTCCATTTCTCAGGTTCATAATACAAACGTCACCGTGGCATGCAAACAACTTCACCTTTGGAAGTGCTCTCAAGTCACTGTATTCCTACATTCGTTTCGTCCTCCAGTTGTTCGCGGATGTGTTGATGTTCATTTCGCTGCTTTCAACGTCTCCTATGAGGTGAACCGAACCGTTTCAATTCGTGACATGACAGATTACGTCACTTGAGGTAATCAAAAAAGCTTCTATTAACTGGTAATACATTTTAAGGGTCTATCAGAAGAGATGGAAGCAGCTAAACTTCGCACTGTACGGTACAAATCCAGCAAGCATATAATCAATGTAAGTCATATTTGTCACATAAACAAGATAAGTAATAAAAGGTGGTTTTTGCGGTGATGACCAGTCATTCTAGGTACGGGTGTGATAACTGATAAGCAATCAAAGATCTGGAACAAACGGTCCTTCTTTCTCAGTGTTTCCTTTTGTACATTCATGCCATGTTTTGTATAATACAAGTCATGCGTTGATATGACTTCGAAATACTTGGAACATGCCAACTAAACAACCTCGCAAGCAAAATGCATGAGTACAATTTTTACAATTTTGATCAATTTTTCAATCACTGGATTATAAGTTGTAGTCATGCTTCCCAGGGTCCCTTTGGCTCCCATCCCCCCCTCCCTCTCCTCGAAACTGGCAACGAAAGTGCACATCGATAGCGCACGATCGCCCCAACGGCTGGTAGTTATGAGACCCGTTGTGTTTCACATCTTCAGACCTCAGGTCTGCAGCGTAGAGGGGCACTTCGGCAAGGTAGCCACCCACGAAACTACTCAAAACAAATGGTAGAAGACTTGTGTGCAAGAAGAATTTGAACTCAGCAATGAACGGATGCATACGTCCAAAAATGCATTCGAAGACCTTCTGTAGTTAACAGAGTGTAGCGCTAACTCAAAAAAAAAAAATTCAAGACCATCCTTACATCCTTAAAATAACCCACTTTCAGCTGGACAACTCTGATGTATCAACTTTGGCTGCAAATGACTTCTACATCCAGCCCGTTCCGATGGTGAACAGCGACAGTAATGTGAAGGTCGGCCATACTTACTTGTATACTTGGACGCTCGTTGTCGGCTGATATGGTGGCAATAGTGCGGCAGTTGTAGGTACAAATTCGTAAGCAGTCTCCATGCCTCGAAAGCTTTTCGTTCTGTGCACTCCAAATCCTGCGGCGGTTTTTGTCTACAGGTCCCTTCAGGTCGCCGTTTGCTCTAGTGCACTTGGAGCTCGTGCTTCAATCTGTGCCGCTCCGGACCCACATTGTGCGTGTTGAAGCTGATGTACCGTCCTCGGGTAGCTAGCCCATTTTGAGGCGGTGATTACCTCCACTGTTAGCCGGAATTTCTTCCCTTTCGCTCCCTCGCCGCTTCGAGGCCAGTGGTAGGGTTTGGGAGGAAGGTCGGCCATAGCTTCAGTAAATGCAAAGTCAAGAACCAGCCAGTGTGAAGAAAAATTAGTGCCTGAGGAGTCGATACTTGGTCATGTAATGGCGAAATATAGTCAAGAAATGGCGCCATAAGAATGGAAAGTCCGTTTATCCCGCCCATCCCCACGGTGAGCGCAGTCAATGGAATCTGAGCCTTTATTGCGCGAATAACAAAGTTTTCACGGTAGCAACCCTGTATACCGACTCCTCGAAGGCGAAGTTTCTTCACGGGACGTTTCCAGAATCACCCAAATTACTAGCTGAAACAGAACTGAATCAACTTCCTTGAAACAACTTTAAAACTGTAAGGTTTTCATGCCTCTCCAAATAATATCTTTTTAGGATCTTCTGCAAAAGCTTCCACCATTCTATCGCGGACAATGGGAAAACACCATGGCAGAAATGCAGGAGCCGTCAGACGATAGGGTGTCCATATTGCCACTGAAGAAGAGCGATCTGATATATTTGAGAGGGAAAATTGCCAGCGAACGTTAAGCGCCAGTTTAAATCTTGATTCGATGACCGGCACTGTGTTTGGTGGTACTGTTAGCCCGATGCACTAGACAAATTCAAATTGGAATGCTCGGGCCTTATTATTGCGCAAATGGCCTTGGAAACAGTGACGCTACTCGAGTAGCGTCATTGTTGTACTAAGAGTATTGTATAAAATGACCTTATCAATGAGACTCTTTTGGGTATCCCAAAAAGACTGCTCGAATTCTGTAAGTGTCCAACCTCATGAAGTAAGTGAGTTGTAAAGTAGCTAATGCATGATATACTTGCCTTCAGGAATACCGCTTTTTTGCAAATTGCATGCCTAGGTCCAAGAGGATTAGCTATACAGTCTTTCTCCCAGTTCGCGGCGTGGTTTACCGGGCGCATACATTTTCTTGCTTCCGCAGATAAGATTTCCGATGTTCACATAGGAATGATGAACTCCATCATTGTAAGAATATTACCACCTCGAAGCTCGGACTTCATACAGCTTCCGATATCGCACCAGAAAGCAGAAAACTGATTTTCATTATTTTTCATCAGAAGAAAACTTATGATAACTGACGAAGTTAATATCTTTTTTCAAAAAGCTGAGTGATGAAAAAATAGATCAATTAATTTGACTCCGAAATAACACTTTCAGCACCGCTATTCCAAACTTCTTATTCACTCGACCACCCAATTAGCTATCTCGCTCAGCTTGCCAAGACCTTTGTGTGCGCCATTAGTTAAAAGTCCTTGCCAATTTGCTCAACTGAATGAGTACAGCTCCTATATACAACTGATTTCAATGAAGCAGATCACAAGAAAAACAAAAAATTCGGTTTCTCCTGGGCCGAGTCATGCTTATTTTATTTTACTGAAAGCCGGTCCGCCCGGCTAACGCCGGGCTTCCCTCCTTATTCGGCAAAATTGTAGTGGTCGGTTGACTCTGAGCTCTTTGAAACAAATAATATTTTCCTGTCCACGAAGTTTGGCAAAGGACTAACACGGCAGTGCAAATGGTATTCAGTGCGAGTCGGCGCTTACGCCTCTAAATCGGATTCTCGACCATTTGCTCTTCTTGTCAGAATTAAACGCCCATCAAAGACTCAACTGTCAGGCAACCAAAGCCTTGGGCGGTACTCACACATGACTTGAGTGATGAGAACACCATTATCAGATGTCGTATCAATGGGTTCTTTTTTATGGAGATATTACTAATTGAGAATTCCAGATTACTGGCGGTCTATTAAGTTCTGTCGCTAATGATATCGAATAATGAGGATCCTTGATTGAGTCCTAAACTTCGCTGGGTTGCGATCGTAATCTATTAGCGAAATGAACAAAATTCTCTTCTGCTCATCGCAGTACGGCCAATGGGCCCCTATCGCTCCCCTTACTACTAACCTTTCTCACCTTACTCTACCATCCAGTCTTATTGGATGGGACATATCAAAGAGTCAATTTTTGAATGTGAATATCAAACTCGTTAAGATTTCGGTGCCTCTCACTCTCTGAGGCCCCTTGTCAGATCTTATCAATTGTTATCAGTTCCTGTCACAGAGTACCTACGACCACGTCTTATCCTACATCACTCGTTAAAATGCCAAGGTTCCATTGTTGTAACGAATGGGACTACAAACCTAGTGGCTTTAGCCTTCTAGGTTCTTGGTCAGCCCTGTCCGCTCGTTATCAGTCCCCGTCACCAACCACCTTCGGACCCTTCTCATACCACACCACCCTCTTAAGAGCTCCACTTTTAATATGAAAGACGTTGTAGAGCTCGCCTCGCCTTCTACGGCTCCTTATCAGACTCTAAAAGTTGTTATCAACCCTTATCACTGAACATCTACGGTCCCTTCTCAATCCACATCCCTTGCCAAGGCTTCACCGTTAAAACGAAGGAAGTGACGAATCCTGCTTCTTTCGCCTTCTTAGTCTCTTTATGAGCCCCTTCCAATTGTTATCACCTCCACCACTTCTCATCAGTGTTCTTTTCCAGTAGCCTGTGCTCCAACATGGTTTCGACGCTCTAGGTCCACGTAAACAGTAATTATGAATTTGCGGTCAAAAATCCGTATCACGCACGCCCCGCCCCTGTAAGCGGAGTTCGGCTTTGGTACCTGTCATGGATGTTCCCATCCTGTCGCCTGTACTCCTACCAACTTTGAACGCTCTAGGCGCACGGGAACAGGTGTTATGTTATGTTATGGGAACACACACACCGACGTACACACACACACAAACACCGACAAACACGCTTAGCGAATCACATATGTGTAGTAGGATGAGATGGCGTTATTTCCAGTTCGAATCTTGATCATTTTTATCTCACGCCCGGCTAACACCGAGCGCCTGCCCTATACACGCGTTCAACAACTTTGAGAATTCGGTGTCTTATAAAATGCTCGGAATTTTGAATATGTATACCTACATCTTCAAGAAAATAAGAATCTGCTGAGTTTTACCCTTCAAATTGGGCAATAAACCAGCAAACTACTACGAAGAGTTGTCCCTAAAATGTGGACCTAGCGTTTATCGAAGGTAGAAATCAACTCGCATTTGCCGTTCCTCAGTTTGAAAGAATGCGATGGTCAATTTTTGGTTTATTTTGAAATATATTAGCTACTTCAGAACTCACTGCACACTTTCAGTGAAAGCGGGTGCCTCCCGATTATAACTGCATCGAGCGTCGTTTCGATGTACTCTCACAGATCTGAGGGGCGAAGGACTGAAAATAGTCCTTTTCAGAATGTTCTAAATCTAAACTTTGTAGAGTTCGAGAAGATGAGTCGATAGAATGCTATATGAAAAAAGTGAATTCAATCCCATTATATAGAAAAAACGAAAAAGAGGCAAAGGAAATTTGACACAGGACGTACAGGGCAGTGCAAATGGTATTCAGTTAAAGGCGGTGCTTACGCCTTCGATTAAAAGTATCGAACTTTTGCTCTCTTTCATAGAAATAAATACCCATCAAAAACTGTTAGACAATCAAAGACGATACTGTGGAAATGGTCTGAAGGATGATAGTACCGTTATCAGATCTTCTTTATCAATGGACCCTTTTTTTCAAGGAGATATCATTAGTTGAGAAGTCCAGATTACTGGCGGTCGATCAAGTTTTGTCGCAAATAATATCAAGCAAAGATAATCCTTCATTGAATCACAAACCTTGTGGATAGCGGCCGTTGCCTAATAGTAAGAAATGAACAAAATTCTAATCTGCTTGACGAGCTGCTAATGGGTCCCTATCACTTGTCTTATCGAATGAAACATACTGAACAGCCAAAGCTACGTCGTAAATACTGAAGGGTCAGAAGATCGGTAGGTGGCCTCCCTTAAAGGCACTGTTAACAAAAAAGTAAGGATACCCTTTTTTTGACGGGAATAGATAGAACTACTCTAGAATAAAGCGATAACAACGAAAAAGCGCAAAAAAACGAGGAACAAAAAGAATTACAAAGAGACAAAAAAAGAGCTGGAAAGAGGGGGTGGACGAATATCGCATTGAAAAAACTGCGGTTAGGGAGTGTTCGAGCGAGAATGCACGAAGGCAGCGCAATGTCTGCAATACAGACAACACATTGAAATTAACGGAGTTTCTAAAGTAAAAAAACATTTGCATGCAATAATCTACCCAAAAATATGTTAAAATCTTCAATAAACTTACGAGAATAGTTGAAGAAAGCTACCGTGAAAAATTCATAACAAAAAAACAATAGAAATAACAAACACAAAATAGAAATAACAGCCGAAAACNACCAGCTGACCATTCCTGGCAATTTGCCAAACAGCGTATTGATTTTTCACCAACTTCGCTCCAGTGCGATTGTGGTGAAGGACAACTTGAACATGTAGTCAGCCTAACGAGGGGAGGAGGCGTCCCGTCCCCCACTGTTCCTGGCCTTATTGTGCCCTATCCAGCCGTTTTCCAATCTAATTCCTGCACAAATGTTATCAGAGGGGGCTTAGAATTCTCACCATGTGCATATCTTCGAAACCATTTATTCGTTAACAGTGCCTTTAAGTCCCTTATTTTCTCTTATCAGTTATGATCAGCTCTTGTCACCGAGTACCTACGATTCCGTCATATCCTACATCACTTGCCAAAATGCTGAGGTTATCCCACCGAATTTCAACGCTCTAGCTCCGCGTGAACAGGAGTTATCAATTTGCGGCCCAGTTTTTATTGCGCGCGCATCGCCCCCTGTGCACGAAGTCCGATCCCGCCACCCACCATAAGTGTTCCCATCATGCCCCTCGTATTCCTTCTAAGTTTGAAAGCTCTTGGTCCGCGTGAACAGGAGATATCAATTTGCGGCCCAAAATTGCTATCGCGCACGCCACGCCCCCTGTGCACTGCTTGGAATCCAGTCCCACCACCCACCGTAAGTGTTCCCATCCTGCCCCTCGTATTCCTACCAAGTTTGAACGCTCTAGGACGGGGACAGGAGTAGTGAATTTCCGGTCAGACACACACATCGACACACACAAACAAACAAACACCCACACAAACACACTGACAAACCAACAGACACATAGCGAATTATATATAGTAGGATACCGCTAGGATAAATCAGTAGCCTTATCGTATACCATATGTGGCGCTAACAGGTAGGGAAACAGCCTAGATAGGGCGTTATAAAGGCTCAAATATTGTCCCGTGTGTATATGCGGCCGAGTTTCAGGGCTGTTGTATTGTAAGGGCTGCATCATTCTCAAGGGGTCCACGTAGGAAGTCCAAACAACTTGTCGTGCTCATAGCGACAGTGAAAGGCAATTCTGGACAGTTTTGGCTTAAGGAAGTCGAACCATTGTGCAACTGCAATAACTGAAGTATCGTTAAATGACCCTTCCATATCATTACCGTCATGCTAATCTACAACCCCTACTTTCATTACTTTTGAGGAGCCTTATTTTCGCAAAATCGGAGAATTTTCTCGCTTCACCATGACGATGTACTATTTTGAACCAATATATCCGCTTTCCAACTCAGAAAAGGTAACTCAAGATTA